TCATCATAGTAATAGAAAGTTCGCGGTGAAAGTGGTAAAGGCTTTGCACCACAAAGTTTCAGATTCGTTTGATACAACCTGATAGCAAGTTGTAGTAATATCCATTAAGACTTGTAAATATAAATAAAAATCAAGTAAGAAATAATTAAGTAAGTTAAAATAAATCATACCTAATAACAAAGAATAACCATTGGTTTTCTTTCTAATACAGACCATTATTAGCAAAAACTATTATAAATAGCAAAACTATTACTAATTTATTGATCACACCAAGAAACTAAATTTGATACTCTTATTTAAAAATGAAATATAATGCTTAATTCTAACTGTTGGCAAAAAAAACATTGCGTATTTTAACATATTATTCTAATTTTCAAGAATAATATTCGTATTTAATAATATTTTGATTTTGAGCTATTATAATAAGCTTTTCAGTATATAGTAGGTATATGGGGCATCCATTAATCACGTGAGGTTTTTAGGGGGAGGGGGGGTTTGACAAAAAATCACGAAATATCACGTAGTGGAGGGAGGGGTATAGTAAGTACGTGTATTTATTTTTTAATTAATTTTATTAAAAAAGTACAAACATTTTCAAAAAAAATTCTAAAATTTTACAGTTTCTTCACGTACCTAAAAATACACGTGATGTTTAGTGGGGGATGGGGGGTAATTTTGAATATCACCATGTATCACCAAGGGGGAGGAAGATCCAAAAATCCTTAAAAACTTGCTCACGTGATTAATGGACGTTCCCTAAATTATACTAATTTAAATTCATATTTTTATTAACATATGGCTGTTTTGAATGAATATTATTATAATAGACGTAAATGCGTGCGTCTGTACTATGCCTATCTAATAAAAATTGATAATATTGAAATTTTACCATCAGCTCTCTTACTGTTTCAACTATAAGATACATGTCCTGTATAAACCTCTACTGAAATTCATTGCGTACAGGTATCAATGACTTCATTCACAAACAGCCACAAATAATGTATGTCAGATCATAGAAATTTACAATAGGGTATATACCAGCTTTTGTAGAATCTTTCAATTGTGTAAATCCTCAGGTAAGGAATACTTGAATTGAATACTACTCACATTAAATTTTTAGTAGTAAAAAGTTAGCACTAATAAACGGTTGGTCTGATTGCCACCAAAAAATGATCAAAGGAGAATACTTATTTAGTTTCAAAAAATAGCTTTTAAATTTTTCAAGTAAGTGTAGCTGTTTTTGAGGAATCATTGACTAGGTAAATGTAAAATTTTGCCTGAGATAGTCGACAATGCACACATATACTGTTTTCAATTTTATGTTAAACAATTCAGAGTTATGTGAAACAACAGAAAACAAAAGCATAGATAATCGCATTTTCTGGCAAAAACATAAACTTTTCCTTCAGCAAGATATGTACCCCGTACATACCTAAAATTTCGCACGAATTGACTTCGTTTATTCTAACACTCTTGGTGTAAAAAAGCAGTAAGATAACAGAGCAAGTGTTAATACAACTTTACCGACTAAACTTTACAGGAAGTAAATAAAAACGTCGAAATACAATGGGAAATCGTACAGTACATTAACAGATAATCTAGCATTTAGTTAATTCAAAACAGTCTAGAGAAGAACCGTTAAAAATGCAAATTAAACGCGATAAGTCGTGATTTGTAATCGGTCATAACAAAACAAAAGATTTCCAAGTGCTTTTATCCGGTTTTTCGTATCTTAACAGTAAATAGCAAACGTGTTTTCAATGGTAACACGGAGTTAATTAAAAGTACGATATCATCAGGAAATATATGCCGATGTAATAATATCTTATCTATACAAACGCTTATGGTAAAATGCTTTTTATCTCAAGTGGCTAAATCGCCAAACTATTTTGTATTTATTTATAGAGTCCACTTGAGATTCAAAATTGGGTTATTAAAAAACAAGTGTAAATACTTATGCTTTATGAGCATAACTTTGATCTTGTAATTATTTTTAACTACAGAAATTTATATGCAAGCATAGATTGGTAACAGATACATTCATTCGAATCAGATGCATTTATTACGATCCTATATCCAAGATAGTGCCATATAATAGGCAAATTTTCAAAATCCCATCTATATCTATATATTTACCACTCAAAGCAAATCAAACTTATTACTTTGTCTACAAATACTGAAACATATAAATTTTTTCTAATATTTCCAATTAAATATCACATCATATAGCACATTTTTAATTACCTCAAAAATCATTTCACACGCAACTAAGAAGCTGGTAGAACGAGAAAAAAACGTTCGTTCCATTAACGAGATCGTTTAAAAACCGGATGCGTGTGAAAGATGCCAAATGTAATCAGGGATAATCTCGTAATGTGAGAATCCGTTGACAAATGATTCTGTTCTTATTTACGACACTTGATAGCCGGGAGAAAGGATGTGATAAGAAAGGATATGGTCGTATTCCGATTACTAGAAGAATCGTCTTGATAGTATTGTATATAAATATTTTTTGTAGTTATTGAATGCAAGAATATTTATAATTTTGCACACTGATTATTCTTATTAACTTCCCATAGGGTTTGTCAAAAAATCGAGGTCGACATGCATTGTAAGCGCAAAAGTTTGAATAATAAAAACTTATTAAAAATGAGTAAATAAAATGTGGTGGCCTCACAGCATAAACCTGCCTCCGACCAAAATGCCAACAACAATAATAATACTAAAAATTACACGTGTGAAAATATATTTCTTCCTCCAAGGGTAATGACTTTCACGGTGCCCCCATAAGGGATTAGCGAACCAGTTCAAAAAAATAAAGCACGAGGAATAAAAGTCTCGTACGATATTATATTGCAGACAAGTGCTCCTGTCTCTAGTTACTTTTGTCGTAATTAGAAGTAAAGCTTCTGATAGTAAACACTTGCGTATAAGTATGGTAATGTTTTTAGCAGGTTTGGTGACTCAGACGAGAACTTAACAAGTTGAATGAAACTAGTTTGTCGAGGGGATATGATGATCGTAAAATCTTCTCACACAAGTATATATATATATATTTATTTACAGGGTGTCCCAGAATTCAACGTCAGGCCGAAACAGTGTGATAGTATTGACAGTAATCGTCCTTAAAGAAAAATTGAAAAAAAAAGTTATCGAACCATGTTTGGCGTAAGCGTTTACGGAACTCTAGAACTTTGGTGAAATTGTGACCATTTTTCGATTATAGTGGTTCATTTTTAACTTCCCGTAGCGCAAGCTATAGTAATCGCAAAAAAATCGAAAATGAAAATTTTTGCATTTCTCGACGTTTCAAAGGTTTCTGAATATTTTGGCATACCTTAGAAAAAATGGATTTGTGTGTGTGTGTGTGTGCCTGTGTGTATGTATGTGCGGATACAAATTTTCGTCGACGATATCGGGAACACCGATCAACTGATTTGAATAATTCAAAAAACATTCGATTCGTATTGATAAGGAGACGTGCTGATTAGTTTTTGGCGAAGTCAGGTCTAGCCGTTCCAAAGATACAGGGCAAAAAGTGCCGAAAACGGTAACTCAGTTTTTAAGAGAACGGAGCGTCCGATTTTAATAATTCAAAAAACATTTCACTTGTATTGACAAGGTAAAGAACCGATCAAATTTTCATGAAGGCAGGTCTAGCGGTTTCGGAGATCTTTTGTTGCATTATGAATATAAAATTTTTAAATGATTCAACTTTGAATGGCCTTTTTACAAAACAATAAATTAACTGAAATGTGCTGGTATTGTAAAATGGTAAAATACTCAATAACTTCAAAGTAAAAAAATTATAGTAAAAATATAAAAACCTCATATTCAGTTCAAATGTTTCACTCTCTCTGGAGCTTGCACATTTGAACTGAATTGAGTAAATTGTAAAAATCATGTTATTTTTCAGCTTTTTATTTTTTTTATTCAATTTTTTTTAATGATGAAAACTATCACGTATTTTACCATTGGACAATCCTACAAAAAATAAGCCCACTTTTGATAAAACTCACTTTAGTACAGTTTTTTTTAGTTTAGTTTAAGGAGGGCTTCTCAAATTTGATCGATTTTAAAAAATTAAATTTAATAGTTCGACAAATATGTTTAATTCTTGAAAACATGGCAAAATTGTGTCATTATTTTTTATTATAGCCCTGAAACTGTTTTTCACAGTTACTATTCAAAGTTTAAATAAACAAAAATAATAAATATAAATATAACTTTACAAATACGTCAACTAAGCAATCATAAATTCCACAACGTTTTGATTAATTTACTAAAAGCCAACAGTTTTTATGACATTTCTGAATATACTAATTTTGACATGAAATACAGTGGTACCATCCCCTCCATATCATAAATATCTGTTGTTTATTGATTATATGTGATATCTTACAAATACAGCAATTTTTGGCTATAACTGAGTATTACTTAGCTGTGAAATATGTTTCTTCGTCTCTGATACTGCTCTTTTTTTTTAGAAGAGCTTCTAAACTTTTAAATAATTTCTGCAAATTAATGGATATACAGGTCCTCAACTTTTGAAGATGCTCTAAACGAAGACGTGATATCAAGTTTCATAAAATCAAGACTCAAAATTAAATTAGTTTAGCACTTCTTTATTCGTAATTTATATTTGGTTGTTTTGTTATTTAATTGTAAAATTGTGAATTGTATATCTAATAAATCTAATACATCAATCTAACTATAATAAATATAAATATTAACCACAATAACTGAAAAATGATCAGATTTTCTTCATAGCTCTAACTTGCACTTAAAAGCTCATAAATACCGAACAACGTGAGGTAATATTTTTTCTATTTTTGTTTCAAGTTACGGCCAATAATGTCATCCCCTTTCGGTTTTACGTTGAGTTCTGGGACACCCTGTACACATAAACTCTAGTCCTTATATAAAATGCATAGTGCGTTTCAATCATCATCTCTATTCTCCAATTCCACCTCTATCATTTATCAGACATCTCGACTTACCTCGGCAAAGACATCAAATACTGCAACAGTCTCCTATAATCATCGTGCTTGGCCCTGTCCCTCCTCGCAGCCGCTGGAAAGGTGATGATAGGCCCGCCGCGCCTGTCCCGGCCGCCTGTCAGCGCTGCCAGGCGGTCCTGCAGAAGCGGCATGAGGTCAAGCGCCCGCGTGCCGTCCATCCTCGACCGCCGGGAACACGGCCGGCGGCTGAGAGAGCTGCAGCGACGCGGGCACGCGCGCTCTCCCTAGGAGGACCCCGGTTCTGGAAGGAAGGAAATATGATTGTAGTTAGAAAGAATATGATATAATATAGAAAATACATATATATTGTTGCGACCCAATGGTTTAACTATAACTAATATATTACTAACTATAATATACGCTACGCATATATCCGATTCTCAGTTTCTCAACATTGTATTCATCCCAAGAACTGTTGTTGCATTGTATTAAGTCATATCGAGTAACAAAAGTATTATAATCAAAATAGGACCGATGAATTTTTTCCAAATGCGTACGTTAGCCTTTGCGTACGACGCAGTAATTCCTATGAATTTCGATCGGGGAATCACATAATTCGCACTCATACATTTAAGGAAACTACTGATCATATTCAAAATCAAGGGAAGTCCCTGATTATTAAATGAAAAGGCTATATAAAGCCGAAATGGAATTTTAAGTTGTTCAGTTGTGTAATTTTCGTATAGACGACAGCATCTCAGAGTATTAATGAACCGGAAAATAAAAGTATACATGAAGAATATTGTGTTTAATTTCAACTTATTATGATATTACAATAACATCTAACGAAATTGTTTGATGAAGAGAAAAGCTAATCGGCGCCCAACAATATATATTAGAAAGTTAAGGTTATTTTGAGTATTTTTGATCAAAAATAATGTAAGTTTGTACCAAGTGGTAACCAAAAAAAAGCCCTAATTGATTTTAAGTCAGGGCAAGACTGAAAAGCCAGAATATCACCGAAATAGAGAGTTCCTCACAAGAGAGAGTCACTTTTTCTTCTCTGTTAGCAAACTAATATAGATAAATTTTCATCGCATTGTAAAGCTAACAAAATATTCATGAGACAGTTAGAAATTTCACTCTTTAATAAAAGCTCTTGCAATGGGCTTTACTGGGCAAGGAAAAAATTAGTGATGTGCCAACTCGAAAATATAAATCTCGAGTAGTTTGTTCGGATAACATTAAAAAAAAGATAAATCTTGCTCAGAATCTCTTGAATTTCTAAAACACACATTTGTAATCAGAATTAAGGACCAATATTTCACCAACAAACGAATTCGCTCTCAGCGCTCCGTCAAACGCAAAGACAATGACGCTGATATATCTGGACATCAGTTTAGAAGTTGAATGGTTTGCATGAGTCGCTGGAATTCGGTTCATACGGGTTAACTCGAATGTTTCCGAATGATTCGTATAAGTCGTTTGATTCGAATCATGCGAGTTTGATTCGAATCAACTCGAACGATTTGACTGAATTTGGGGTGACTCTCATGATTTAATAGTATTTTCTTTATTTTCATATCAATATTTAGTAATATTTTTTTATTTAATAAAATTTATGTATCATTTATTATGTATCACAATAAATATTTCTCGGCTTGATATGAGATTCGAGTTTGATTCAAATAAAGTAAAATTTGATTCAAATCCCAGTTAAGAGGTTGGGGGCCGTTCAAGTATTACGTAAGCACTATAGGGGGCGGAGGGGTTGTTGATTTTCTTATTTTGGGTTGACATGGGGGGCAGGCGAGTCTGGATGATGATTACGTCATAAGTAGTATTTTTATTTTTTTTATTAATTGCAAAATGTTTACGTAAGCATGGGGAGTAGAGGGTAAGAGCTTTGCTTACTTTTGTTGACAAGGGGGGTGGGGGGTGGTAAATAATTGTAATAAATCTGCTTACGTAATACTTGAACGATCCCTTGATACGAATTAATAATACGATTTGAATCGCGTGATTCCAATTGGCACATTACTAGAAAAAAGTTATTAAAATTTCGATTTGTTTTGTTTTCCAATATACGGGAATTACCACTGGGTAGTACTTGACAATCTATTTTTAAGACAATACAATTACTAGCTGTCAATGCATGACAGGTGTAATTTTTAATTAAATAAAAAAGGCATTATCAGAAGCTTAAATCTTGATTAATCCAAATGAAAGCCACTGCAATTGGATGTCGTAGGTAATGTGAGAGCAAAAGTTTTTACAACAAAGTGAAAGGAAACAGATTAAACTTTGTTAGGACTTAAATATTAGGACAGCATGATGTCAATGAAGTAGTAATGTTGGATAAAATAAAAATAAAATGAAAAATAAAAAATAAAAAAGGACTGAAAATCAATACTTGCTATTTGTTCTGTAGCTACTCAAACTTAACACAATACCTTGATACAAAGTTTCATTTTCAATCATAATCACCATAAAAAAACTATTTCCCAAAAATCTCCAATCATTACTACGAACCATTTATCCTTTAGTATTTCGTTTTCTGTCTATACGTGTATAATCAACACGAAATTGATTTTAAATGGAAACAAAAAACGCACGTACATGCATTACATGTGATTTTATCATTCTGTTCGCATCGCTCCTGGAAATGGAAAATCTATCTGCGAAAACACGTATAAAATCGAACATGTAAAGGTGTAACCGATATATAAAAATACAGGTGCAAAAAATGTAGCGAAATGAGTAGACCATTTTTTATGTGGTAAAAGATTCGCGTTTTATATCTGTATCTATTTTGTTAGATCGTGATATTTTTTATATAGTGTTTTATATCTATATCACCGTTTCAGGTAATGGTATTGATCATAACTATCCTATTGACTATTGATCATCACTATCCTATCCCTTCACGTTGAGTTCTGGGACACCATGGATACTGCTGATTATATCCTACAAATATTCCTATAGATTCCGTTTTGTGAGCAGAAACATTTTCCTGGTTTATCGATGCATCATTTTATATTTGCATCGTTCTGTCCATACGCTTTTCCGCAGACTGGCGGTTATTGATGAAAACTATATTGCATTTTCCCTGGAAAAGCCATTCTGTTTCGAACGTTTTGCACAAAGCAAAATCATATTAATGAATAGTTATTTCCTCGGGATAATGATTATGCTAAAACGGAATTTATAAGCACTTATAATAGATGTTGTATAGGGTAACCATTATTTTAGGAAATGGATATAGTATTTGTGAAAACGAGGCAAACAAAATTTTGTAGATAAAAATCATGTAAGTAGAATAATAATATATACTGCGCTCTATTATTTTATATTTTTGATAATTTGCGGTATACTTTAACAAATTATTCAAGCATTTTTACCGTATTATAATAGGTTTTCTCAATGTTTTAAGTGTAAGAGTATCTTACGAAATAAATCAAGTACACAACATGAGAATTAATTTACACCAACGCTCATTTATATAATAAATTTCTTCATCATAATGATATTTTTATCGTAAAATGTCTCATAAAACCCGACTTATTTCATTACATATACCACACAATAATATTCTACATCCTTTGTCAGAAAATAAAATCCATTTGGCAAGTTGTTGTTAAGTAGATTGTGGGATTAAATGCACCAAAATAAGTCGTTTCACAATTTTATGGCTTGAAGATAAAATATCATGAACAATAAAGAATTAATATATATATTAATATACAAAAATGTAAAAAAAAAACGATAAAAATGTACTATAAAAAGAATGTACAACAGATGCACAGTTTATGTCGGAACTGCTGGCATGAGTCCAGATTCAAAAATATTTTTTATATTAATTCTGCACAAGAAAAACTTTTGTCGCATAATAATTGATTTAATAACTATTATAACGTTTTGGTTATTTCTCTAAAAAAAGAACACTCCAAATATAACCTAAGAAATACACATACTTTTTCTATATATAAAAACAACTATATTCTATATATGTATATACTTGAAAAAACTAGTACTAAAATCTTTTTTTTCTAAATCAAACTATAATTAAAATCGATTTTTTTTATTAAATCGAACAGCAACTACAACTTGCTATGCGGTTTTTAGAAGATATAACTCACGACTTAACCTATCTATATTTGATATTTTATATTGGAATTTCTCTAATGATGATGATTCATTTTGAATTGAATGCAAAAATGTCGATAAAGAGCTATTTTCATCTAGAAAAATATTTAGATCTTTATATTTAGATTAGTATATAGACTGATTTCACTACTGCTTCATATCAAGTTGGCCGAGATAAATGTAAAATTCAAAACAATGCTGTTGAAATGTCTAAGCATTACCACAGATCCACAAGCCCTTAGAAAAAATCTAACAAAATATTATAATTTTTTTTAAGATATTGTGTATTCTGATAAAATAGTATCAACCCCTGAACCTCAAAATTACTGATTCATTAGGCTAAAAATAAAGAGTAAAGCAGAAGGCTCGTTGTTATGTTAGTTATTAAAATGTAGGTTGCCAACCCCTGAAATAAATAGATATTTCTATACAAAAACAGGACACAGGATGCGTATGTGTATACAATATGAGCGTTTCGTTTATCAACTTCTTCATTGTTAAAAGCAAACACGGGACATAAAACACACTGCATCCAGACTTTGCTAACAAATTGGATGCATTCATAAGAAAACACCATCTTGCTGGGTTATATTTTATTCCTGGTGCACTACAAAAGATCAGTACGGAACCGCAGGTGGTAAAACCGACGGTAATATTGATATTGGATAAAAGTAACTCAAATCGATAATAATTATATATGTATATATATATATATATTTCTTTTCGAAACATTCAATCCAAGAAAATTGAAAAAAAAAACAAAAAATATTAAGATATTTATTATGATTCGAATATAGATATGTTCCATCACCAGATTCTCACCAAAATTTGTAAGTTAAAAAAAAAAAACTTTTTAAAAAATAAAAATTTGAGAAATTTAAAGAATATTAGAAATTGAGACGCAGAAACTGTTTACTCGCAATTTTGGTATATTTATCTAATTCACTCCAAGTTTCAAATTTAGAAATTAAACATCTTGAAGGTTTTTCAGTTCTTGAATAGAATATTCTTTAGAAACATAAATCAAATTATTGAAAAAAAATCTAAATTTATCTAAATTTATTTAAATCTAACAATAAGCTATTTTTTTAATATCACAAACAACCCAAAACAAACTATTACCTAAATATGGCAAATGTGTATAGACTATTCTGA